GCTGCCAGGCATGTTGTTTTAAATGCCTAAAATATATATATATATATATATATATATATATATATATATATATATATATATGTGTGTGTGTGAAAAGTGTATTTAGATATAAATAAATATATATATGTATAATTATTTATATATTGTATGCGCGGTACTTATTAGAAAGCGCTCAATATCAGAGATAGAGCTAACATATTTGGTTGGATTGATGTGAGTTTGTGACCCTGGGTTTCACGCTTTAGCGATCGTCAGACAAACTGATTAATGTTTTAAAAAATGTGGGTTTATGTAGATTGCGTGTATTGGTGTTATTGTGGAAGTGGTGGGGAAATTTCGTCGTTTTGTCATTCATCGTACTAACGCAAACATCGATGTATGCAGACACATATACATACTTGGTCGTCCGTCGGGACTCATACATATATGAACATATGTGGGCAGTTTCGGATATGACATATGTATTTATACGGGTGGTGTTATATATATATATATATATATATATATATATATATATATATATATATAGAGAGAGAGAGAGAGAGAGATAGATAGATAACTAGACTCGTTTCGCAAAAACCCTCGAATTTTGATTTGCTAATCAAATTAATCTCGAGGGAAAAAAAGGTTTTAAAAAGAAAGAGCTACAAACATGAACTTCTGACGACAAAAAATCGCAAAGATGCAGGTTTGAAGCCCAAAGAAAAAACCCCGATACGAGTAAACAACTAACAAAAGAGCTCAATACAACCGTAGAGCAGACCTAGATAAACCTAGTGAGGCAGACAAGTTTACCTGTTTTTCACCTAAACGGATCGCCAGGGAAAGTCAAGATTGACTTTCCCTGACGATCCGTTTAGGTGAAACCTAGGTAGGTTTGTCTGGCTCACTAGATCTATCTATCTATCTATCTATCTATCTATCTATATATATATATATATTTTAAATGTTTCTTAGGTAGTGTGAAGCCGTTAAGGGTTTGGGCACCTCGGCAAGGGTTTGGTGCAATGGTTAGCAAGCTTGTCGCGCTAAAACATCGACAACTGATTAGTGAATCCCATTCTCACTGAGTGCCCCATACTTTCGGCCTTGTGCCACATCTAAGCTACGCTTTGAAAATCAGTTTAGAGAGCAAACCGCTCGCGGAGCACTTAGATCTTGTCGAACTCGGCATCTGGGAGGAGAGGAACCCAGATGAGGTTATGCCAATGGGCAGAGTCACGTTTGGGGAGGTTGACATCACGACCCCGTGTATACGGGGTCTATGGGAAAAATTTTCCCGAGCCTACGGTCTCGGATATGCTCCACATAAAAACTGGCCTTGTGCCGCATCTTACTTCGTGGGGAGATTTGGTAAATGCCCAGCCGTTAGCGGTTATCCGCGCCAATAGCGGAATCGTTGAGTTCCAATTCCGGTCATTCATGTTTCGTTCACTTTCATTTCTTGTTCCCACCATCTATGGATTAAATATCAATTGACTCACTTGTTTTTTTACGGCTTATCAACCTTCTGCAGGTTATATAAAGTCGTAAAATAGTTTTGGGATTCGAAGACCATTTAGGAGGTAATAGTGATTTAGGGATACAAGTTCTAATATTTAACCCATAGCTGACGGGAGAAAAGGTGGATTCACAAATTTCCTAATGTTATTTGTGCGTAAATGAATATAACGAACCCGTTCCAACCTTACACCACCTGGTATACCCAAGCGGTCACTCACCTAGATACTGACGAGGTTCAGAGTTACTTAACTTCAGTGACTGTACAATATATATATATATATATATATATATATATATATATATATATATATATATATATATATATACCGGTGTAACAGCAATATTGTCCAAATCGTGCAACACCAAAATTGTCCAATTGTTAGATTAAGCTTGAACTATTGTATCTTAGAAATGATTAAAGAAATCTTACTGGAATTCTCCTACGTTTTTATAACACTACTGGACTCTACTTTTAGCATCTAAGTTGGTTTTACAACAAGGACGATGACGAAACGAGAAGGCTTACGTTTAATTTGAACGCTCATAGTTCAATCTTAGAACATTTAAAGCAACATTCATGTCCACATTCACAGTTTAGGCAGATATTTGTTAAAATTCTTCAGGGCTTCATGAAAATAATAATGAGCAAAAACTATTCTGGAAGTCTTTTATATGAGAGAATTTCGATCAAAAATAATATCAACTATGTGTATAACGACAACGAGTCATTTTTTTTGTTAATCTTTTAAAAAACATCACATAAATCGCTTCTCTTGTAAAGGGTTAAAAAAAATTATTTTGAATTTACGGTGTTCACACATAACACATCCGTAGATATGCAACCCCTGATGATGGTCTAAGATGAGATTTAAAGTACTTGGGAAAATAAAAATTATTTTAAAAAAAATTTTGGAATTTTTATCAGTCAATTTTCTACAGTCACCAAGAAATTAATTTGGTGGACTTTAAATGTTTAAAACTAAAATAAATAGATATAATACGTCTACATTATATATATATATATATATATATATATATATATATATATATATATATATATCAGGTCATCCCATAAGTTCTGTCCGAATTTAACTTTTGTTAAAATGAAT